AGATGAGTCATGTTTAGTGGGACAGTGCGGGGAGTGAGTGAGTTTGTGAGGTCACCGACCACTTGGGAGGCGGAGTTAGTCATTAATTGAAATATAATCGTCCTTTGGAATTTTTCAATGCAATCTAATAAGTTATATGTAACTTCTATAACAAAAACTGTGAACTGAGATATGAAAGCTTTTGGCAAAGAAAGGCTAACAGGGCCTGAGGGCAGGGACTGGAATGATATGTAGTGTTTTTCGAAAAGTGAGAAGGAGTGGTAGGTGGGTGTTTATTATCAGTAGTTACAGATGTAGCAAAAGACGGGTTTGAACGAGCAGAGTGTGAGCTATCCAGAGACTTTACATCAAGGAGGTCGGATTTAGCCGGTGGCGGTTTGGCTGCAAGATTTCCGGATTGAGATTTTCATGCATCCATAGTCTCTTCTTTCGGCGTCGGTTCCACAATGGACCTTGGCTTATTAGTAACTGCAAGTAGTTTGTGAGGGTTGAATTTTTCATCGAGTATTGTTTTTGCTTTTTATATTTGATAATTGGGGTGTGTGATAGACTTACCTCCACGTGGTGCGCCCTGGGCAACGTATACTCATACGGCAAAAAAGTCTATTACCTGGCAGTTGACTTCAAACTACCATGACCCCACTGTATGTCATATTCGACTACTTTCACAGTACTCATCCCACCTTTTTTCCACCTTATCTACCTTCGTCTTTGACACACTCTTCTGTCCCCCCCCCCCCTCTTGAATTTTTAACACTTGGATGTTCCTTCCCCTCTGTGAAGACTGAAGTCAACTAAAGGTCTAATTTGATATAATAATAATATCTGATAATTTGTAGTATAGTGGACGGCGATGGAGCTTATGAAAGCATTCACAAGTTGATAAGGACAGTCTCTCTAGTGATAGAGTCTGTGCTTTGCCCATTCAGGCAAAGTTGCAATGTTTGAAACCCAGCAATAAATTAGGATGGATCAGTTTATGCTGTTGTCTTGCAAATCCTCATGGTGTTTATAGCTTCTATGTTGAGTATCGCAGTATAGTTTTCTGTTTTGATACGTCTGTTGTTTGAGGTATCAGAATCCTCTGGTAGAAAGTTGTGAATATCTCCATGTATAGAGTTGGAGTCATCAAAGAGATTTGGAAATACTTTGGAGGGTTCTAATGTATCAGATGAAGCCATGCCTATAAGGAGATATTTCTTCCACAACTCCTTCAGAATTGTTTTATTCGACTAATTATCACTAGCTATGATGCTCGTGTGGCATTAAAGGAGAGAAGGAATAAGATCACCTAGCTTGGCATGTGCAAACACTTGATGTAGGCGTTTCTCTTGGGTCATTGCTGGATCGAGGTTGAGATATTAAGAAGGGTCATTCGATGTATTCACAGTGAAATCAGTTTCCGAAGACGTTTGTGGTAGGGTTAGAGGGCAGAAGAGATGAGCTGACAAACTAGTTATAGGGGGGCGAGGATCATCAAATGTGTTATACAAACTAAAAAATGTCACAGCGCCAGGAAGAGATTGGGTCTCGGCTGAGCAGTTAGCGTCAGGGTCATCAACTATTATAAGATTGCTACACGAATAAGTCTTGACTTATGCGCAGCAATTCCTACGGCTCGTTCTCCTAGTTTGGCCTGGTTCACAAGATTAGCCAAGCTACGTCAAAGATATCGAGGAAACAGATGTATGGCATGGAATACGTTTTTATTTAGGAATGTTTGTGCCGTAGAGATAGGGTCGTTAAAACACAATGAAATGTCTGTTAAACAAAACAGGGACTGTTGATTTCTGGCTGATTGAGAGGTCACTGCGCCCACGACCGCACTCGCTCCCCACACGACAAGTAACACGACGACACCTTCGAGTCCAATTGATTTATGGAGGCATAAGAACTTTTCTAGCAAACTACTTTATAATAAAGATTTTCTTGTGATGTATTACATTTACTGACATAATCTATTATAATAGCCGAAGTAAATTAGTAGAGACTTGTCTCTATCTAAATTTTCCTCATTTTATGACTGACCCCATGCTTAATTTATTATTCGCCATGCCAAATTCAAAGTGTGAGAAGCGTCTCTGTAACCTTAACAACGAAGTACTTCAAAATATACGAAAAGGGGGAAGATTAGAGCAAAACTGGCAATCATCTTTGGAGACCAAGAATTCACCTGTATTCTAGTTCCAAATGCACTGGGTTGTCTCCTGAAATGTCACAATTTTCATGTTCATTGCTATGACTCCAACGACTATGATGAGACATGACCAGAACATTCGGTGATATATCGTGTCACATCGATTTATTTAGGTCTTTTAGATATTTATGGATAAAGGAGAGTGGCTAAGAAAATTCTGCTATGGTAGAACTAACAAACGTTCACATACACAGCACTTCATCCTGAATTTCGCTTAGTTTGGCCAGCAGCTGGATAGTTGAACAAGGCGCCAAGTATGCCATGTAGAATGTAGAATGATAGGTCAATTTAATTGTCAAAAGAAGGACAACCTAACGTGCCTGGTTAATCACTCAAATTTATTGTCTAAAATTTAAGGAAATGTTATGTCTGCATAATTTTCAAGCGTTCTCACTCAAATGTCACATATGTTGTCGTAGTATGAACACTAGTCGGTTAAAAACTTTTGCCTACTAGGAGAAATTAAGGGTGTCCGAGGCGAGTCCGTTCGAGTAGCACCAAAGGGCCAATTAAAGTAGCTCCAACATTGGAAAAAAATCGAATGACCTACTAGTTTAAATCGTATTACTATCAATTTTGACAAAAAAGTTGTAAATATCTCTAATTCACTGGTTAAAAACTTCTGTTTC